CGAACTCGCGACTTTCATGTTGCCGGTTGCGTACATCAACAAGAATCACGTCACTACGGGAGAAATAAAGAATTGTCACGTACCGTACGTTAAACAAATAATTTAACGTTATATAATGCAGCTTAAAGAACCTTCACTTGCATTTTCTTAAATACACCTACTATTTCCCCCTTGATGGCTACTTATCCTGATCAATTAATAGCGTTAATGTTCAATTTCAAAATATAACTGAAAAAGAATAGAAATTAAAAAGTTTTATTCACCACTGGTTTCTTTTTCTTAATTATTATGTAGATTAATTTGTTTATTATTATTATTCATGTACCACAAAAAGGGACCGCGCCTAAAAGGGCCAGCAAACTTGCGAGTTAACTGGCAGTATAGTATATGAACCATCGTTCCCCTCGTTATAATTATATTTAATTGCGTAATTGTTGTGAAGTTGAAGTGAGACCGTTTTCCTTCATTTTATTAAATTTCACATAATTGCTTAAGTTATCTTGTTATTATTATTTATTTATAGTCATCATCATATTTATTAATTTACCATTCATTAATATTCTTTAAGAATATATACTTGTTTTCGCTCATTGGTCGAAATCCAATCGTTATTCCTTCAGTCAAGTCAATCTGACAATTATTATGTGATTAACTTTGACGATATGAAATTAACTAATGAATGTGTATATACTTGTAACACATATGTATTGCATATATTTTAACTTTTCTGTGCTTTTTCTCCATATATACCGTTAGTCATGCCATCTTAAACTCCTCCATACGCGTATTTTAAAAAAAACTATCTAGCTGTTCGTATTAATTAAATATAGATAAGCAGCGTATTCATTTAATATCTACTTAATTTTCCCACATATGAACAGATGGCCCATTAGCTCAGTTGGTTAGAGCGTCGTGCTAATAACGCGAAGGTCGCGGGTTCGATCCCCTCATGGGCCAATGTATTTTTTTTTTTCATGACTTCGAATTTTATTTTTTATAGAAACATCTTAATAAATCAGCAGATGAATTAACATTATTATTGCACATTCAATAGGTCTATGGCAGAATTAATAGACCATGTAGATTTTCATCGAATACAATTTAAGGCCTTTGTTGAATAATCTTTGTCAAATAAGTAAAATGCTTAACCATGCAATTCCTGGTAACAAGATGATTTTTTCACTTTAGAATCACAAAAGGACGATCACCTTTTTATGGAAGCACATAAAACAGTCTTAGATCTAAATGTTCAAAGTTTTAAAGAACTTAAAAGAGGAACATTTTAAAGGTCTAGAATTTATTTATTTTTATATAGTTTAAAGCTACTGATGTTCGCGTTTCCGGTTGTTACACGAAGGGGCAGGCATTGTCGCAAGGTAATTTCTTTCTTAACGTAAAGATCTTCTAAGTAATAACTGATTTATAAAAAAAGAATGTAACATTGCAAGGTCATAAACCGTATCGCTCAAATTTACCATGGCCCTACCAGATGCTAGAGTTAATGAGCCATTCGTATATTTTCTATTAGGTTGGCGATCACTCCTAATAGTTTCGTGGTTGGAACGACCTCATCTTTTTTCCAGGTTTGAAAAGCGGTGGATTAATGATTTTTCGCTATCGGAGTATTTTCGATGAATTAATCACGACTTCCAAGTGTAAGTTAAGTAAATAAACAGTTAATGGAAACAGGTAGAGAAATATTAATAGATCATTGACATCGTTACAATTGGTGACATCATAATAACCTCAGTCGCATTTAGGTCATGAAAGATAAGACCTATCCAGTGGTAAAGCCTTCGAAAGGCAAGCTACGCAATTTTAATCCCCCTAAGAATCTTAATGGACATCTCTCATAACCACAATCGGTATGATACTTCTTACTTCGTTCCTTGTTAAAACGTGTTGAATTAATAAGTTATATAGTACATTTAGTACCATACGAGTTTTCTGTGTATCAAAACCGAGCAGCTAATTGGCTCGAATTTTGTGAACGCTCGCAAGTATTCAAATATTGTGCTAGCTGAGCCCTATTTACGTTAAACCGAGAAAGCCAAAGATAGCAATACAAATTTCTTTTCAGAGAGTTGATTTAATATTTTCTTTCGCCATAGAAATATTCGCCATTTTCAGGTACAATCGTAAGCGGCCCATTAGCTCAGTTGGTTAGAGCGTCGTGCTAATAACGCGAAGGTCGCGGGTTCGATCCCCTCATGGGCCAATCTCTTTTTTTAAAAGAATTTGGTTTTTCACTTTCCTAGACAAAAAAGTCGCTAGAATTGAGTTGATACCGCAACTTGTCAAAACTAATGTAATGTTCATTTCTGGTTTTTTTTGTTACTTTAAAAAAAAGCAATCACTCTTTTCTATGTGTTTTGTCTAACTTAAATTTTGAACACTAGACAGTTTTATTCATAGTAGTCGTAAACATAATGAATTATGTCTACGGGACATGAACAGTTTAGTAACAGTTGACAGTTTTTAACCTAACCTAACCTTAGTCTTATATTAAATTCATTGTAGAAAATTTTACTTTTTAAATACAAAAGAAAAAAGTCTTGGCCCATGAGGGGATCGAACCCGCGACCTTCGCGTTATTAGCACGACGCTCTAACCAACTGAGCTAATGGGCCATTGCTATATGCGTTGAAGAATCGGATAACATAAGAGATACACTGCACCTCTTACCGATTGTGAAAGGTGTTCTATAAATAAGGTCACTTTCATGAATTAATGTTATGCATTTTTTGTAGAATATAAGTTTTAAAACTTTCGTTCATCGCTTATCATAAAATAATTTTTATTTATGTGAGAAGACGGCAAATAACCTGGCTATTCACCCGATGTTAAGTGATAACCGCTACCCAAGGACATTTGCAACACCCGTTGGATCGCAGATGCGTTGCCACCTTTTTATAAAGTGGGCCCCGCCTACCTCACTCACCAGACGAAACGCAGAAGTGTAACACTTCCACTACACGCTAGTCTTCTGTGAGGTCCTGGTACTTACCCGGACGAACCTGCCCATTTGTTCAACAGCGAAGACTGTTACGTGGCCTACCACAGTTCGTTAGATTTTTTTTGATGCAGTGCAAGGTTTTCTTTAAATTTCGTGTCATAATCGTCATCATAGCAAAATAGACCATTATGATTGGCTAAACATATCCATAACGTTACTGGATATGTATGTAATTCATGGTATTTTCACGATATAAATAAAATGCTATATACTTGGAAGACTGCGCTGTTAACCAGATATTCGAGAAATATATCGAGGACACAGCGAAATGGAGAAAGGATAGAGATCCCTAATAGTGGAGAAAGTAGGTAGAAAGATAGAGAAACTACTAAATAGATGAACATCATCAGTAACGCTCAAGATTCCTTTTTCTTCTTCTAGACTTCTACGTTTTATGCTTCGTTTGTATCGGACGTACGTACGTTTGCAGCCTTTTAGTAACATGACCGACGGCCCATTAGCTCAGTTGGTTAGAGCGTCGTGCTAATAACGCGAAGTTCGCGGGTTCGATCCATTCATCGGCCACTTTTTATATTTTATTCAGTAGCCTTACATTATATGTTTAATTTTTTCAACAACATTCGCGTTTTATCTTTTTTGTAATCTTTATGGATTGTAACGGTGATGTCATTAATTTATCGAGTTACCGTTAATCTCTTTACGAGTTTAATCTAGACTAATCTGTTATCTGCTGCAATTTAGCACGTATACTCGTGGTTAATTGGAATTAGAATAAATTGGAAGGTACTGATCACGATACTGGAATCTCCCACAACCGGCCCATTAGCTCAGTTGGTTAGAGCGTCGTGCTAATAACGCGAAGGTCGCGGGTTCGATCCCTCATGGGCCACGAATGATTTTTACTTTTACCAGAAACGCAATTTATTCTAAAAACTTTCATATTACTATTATCTATTTTTAAGCCGCTGTTTTTGGGCAAAGTAATGTGATTGGTAAAATTAAGCCACCATTAAATTAACAGAGATAAGTATATTCTTTTATCAATATAATTTTTGTCTTTTGACTTTTAATCTGAACGACGTCAACAGAGATAGGTTTTTTTTTATATTCATATATCTTCATCATCATCATCACTTCAGTCTGTTTGAGTCCACTGCTGAATTTAGGAGTCCCCCACAAAGTGCCACGAATTACGATCCTGAGCCACCTGCATCCATCGGTTTCCCGCATACTTACACAGGTCACTCCATCTAGTGGAGGGTCGTCCTACCCTGCAATGGCCAGTACGAGGCTGCCACTCGAGAATCTTTTCCCCAACAGTTGTCGGTTCAACAAGCTATATGGGCGAGCCATCGTCACTTCAGCTTACTAACCTTCTGAGCTATGACGGTTATCTTTGCTCTACCTCATTTAGTCCCAAACATGACAGGCATTCATCATACCCCGGCACATATTAGAACAGTTACTCTTACACATACGAAATCCTGAACTATGTAAAACCACACGAAACAAACTATATAGAAAATTAATAATTACTTCAATAACATAGTCATCAGATCATTAGAAATTTAAATTGTTTATAGTGCTAATCTTTGCACTTAAGATTGAACATTAAAATATGTAGAAAAAGTGCGAAAAGATTGTCGCCGCTGTGGGAATCGAACCCACGTCTTCGGCATTCGCGGCCTGACGCTCTAGCCACTGAGCTAAACGGCTGATTACCACACCGACGAAAATCTTAACGCATTCTTCCACATTGTTTTCTTAGCATTTGAAGCAAAGCTTGGCGCCATCTATTGTTATATCCTTTCCTATAACCCAAACAATTCCTCAGATTCCTCAATTGACTACGATCTTTATTGATCTAATATTTACAAGATTAAATCTACCTAAAATTACATATTATCTAATAAACCTAATCCACGCGGCATGGTGCCAAGAACGCTAGCTGCATTTCCTAGCTGAATAGATATGCTTAACCTTTGAGCGAGAAAAGAACCAGCTCTATGACTACACGGTGTCAGGTACTCACGGCGATCAGCATCCCGCTCTGGTCGAAGTAGTCGGCGACGGGCATCACGTGTCGGTAGAAGTTGGCGAGCTCCATCCGCGCGAGACTGAGCACCACGTGGCCAAGACGGGCCCCGTACTCGATCTGCCTCTCCAGCACCCGCTGCCGCCAGCTCACCAGCACAGCGCCCGTCATTGTCTGTATCTGTATGGTAAGTCAAAGTAAAAAATTCTTTCAATATAGGCTTATTTCAAGCTCTTATCGTACATCTAAAGACTATCGCCGGTTCACTAAACTAGATCTGACCAGAGAAGAACCGGCAAGAAACTCTGGGGTTTTGTTATCTCTTTCCCAGGTATTCTAGTGTTTTGGTTACGTTGTATGCATCGTAAAGTTTAAGTTATGAACAAATTTTATTAACGAAAAACAAAACCGACTCTCCAAAACATCTCGTTCTGTATTCATTTTATGATTGATTTTCAGGAGTTACCCAACTATCTCAGGAGTCCAAGACCCGATACCAATGAAATTAATAAAGAACTGCATGGGAAGCACCAGCTTTCAAATAAAAAAAGAATCGTGAAAATCTGCTCACTCAGTCGAAAGTTCTGAGGTAAGAAACATGAAAAAAAAAACAGTCGAATTCAGAACCTCCTCCTTTTTTGAAGTCGGTTGATTAGTAGTGTATTGAAGATTTAATTCGTTGTAAAACGCTGGTTCATCCCAGTATAAGTTATATCATGGGTTCATTTACCCAGAATCGGAGAGACTTCAAACAGAAATGGTATACGTATAATTTGATTTCAATAAAATGACATCATCTATTTTATGATTTCGATTAAGATTAAAGCAAAAAGAAACCGAAATTATAAAAAAAATAAACACCGAACGCTTGCTTTTTTTAATAATAATACAAAGAAAAATAACAACAGCCTGTATATGTCCCACGACTAGACAAAGGCCTCTCCTGTATTAAGGCAAAGTCAACCACGCGACTCCATTGTGTATTGGCAGACTTCACATATCTTCGAAATATGTTATACAATGTATTTCCTTCACCGCTGAGCAGGAGATAATGGTAAACAAGTAACTTTATTAATTCCGCGCATTACAAAATTAATGAAATTTTTTATTTACGTCACTAAACTGTACAAATTTATGGCGACAGGACTGGAAACCGCAAAATGTATTTCTTAACATCGTATCTAATAGACCATAAAAAGTCCAAGTACTTAAAAAAACTTTTAGAACTATTTTTTTGCATTTTAGAAAGGTTTTTTAGCTTGTCAAGTGCACCGGATAGGCATGCATACACCTAGAAATTATTCCTAGTTTAGGACACAGATTTTATCCTTCGTTCTGTTTCGAACACATATTTTTGTGTGGTTGTTTACTTAAAAGTTACTCTCAATACCCAAAACCACTCACGCCCTTGACACACTACTACCGATTTTTGTCGGGCCTTTGAGGAATCGATTAGCGGCGACGTTGGAGTCGTCTATCAACTATTCAAAGACTTCGGTGGAGTTAATGCCTGTCAGCGTACCAAAGACTTTATATAGAACGCACATTTCGACCCTGCTAATATAAAGTTAATTCAGAAAGCAATTTGTGAACCAGGCCACGTTTGCCGATTTTTTTCTCAGCATCTAATTCGAAAAGCGGTTTCGCAAGGCGGAATACTCTCTCCTATTATTTTCTCAGTTTTTATTAACCAGATTACATCCGAAATTAATATCATCGGTATGCCGACGACCAGCAGCATTATGTTCAATCTCGTATTGATGACCTCGATAACATTATTTTTTTCTGTTTATAATTAATTTTATTTTTAGTGCTAGTCTCTGCAAAAAAAGTAAAACAGATTATTTGCGCCTTCCGGGTAGCCAAGCCAAGATAGAAAACACAGAAACGCACAAAATAAAAGAAACATTACACCGGTTTACCTTTTCGGTGTACTCGGCGACGTCCCGCATGGAGCGCGGGTAGCCGCTGACCAGGTAGGCCTTGGCAGTAGGCGCCATTTTCATCTCCAGCATGAGCACCTCCGTCACGGTCTTGCTGGATAGAGTGCCGAAGTCTTGCATGTCTGCCAAACGTTTTTCAGTGAAAGAAGGTTATATATCTGGCGAGCGCTAATCGCAGTTGACCAGGTGCCCGCACTCGTATCAAATAACAAGACAGGAGCGTCCGTAGATCTTTATGGTCACCGTTATAGTTTATAGACGTAGTACTATACGATAAACATAATTGTATAATTATAACTAACAAAAACGCCTTGGTGTTGTGAATTAAAGATGATATTAATAGTCAAGTTACAGGCTAATCTCCTATTACAGGGCTCTACTTACGTATCTTGGTTCAATTCTTTAAGCCAGTTTAAAGTTGTAGTACCTACTACGAATTGATTATTAACTTAAATGATTCAATATTTTGATGCAGTAAACAAATAATGCATTATTAATACTATGGTCTTGAAGTTTGTATTTGCGGGGCTATAAACGCATTTGCTTTTTTGTTTAGAATTGAAAAATTTTATTTTATGATAGTGAAGTTTTTCGAGGATACCTCCGGTTTTCTTTCCATAAATGCAAAGTTCTCGTAACTTTGGAAGTCTAAAATTAAAATAAATCAAATCAATTAAAATAATAAAATCTCCAAATTAATTTTCCTAAAATCTGTAGACATTCGCATAATGGAAACTTAATAGAACATAAGTTAACATCTCATCCATTGAAGTCGCATATCTCCTGCCTTGAGACGTGATGTATTTACATAAGAAGGGTTATTTTAATTTTTATCTAATATCTAACTATTTATCAATACAATTATACCGATAGTTATGCGTGTCTAATGAATATGTGATGCTGAGTCTACGGAAATGTTTCATTAGAAATTACTCATTATGGATTCAAGTCTGGGGGGAAATCTTCGTAAGATACCCTGTCATTCTGTGACAGGGTTATGTGGGGTTCTTGCCCACTAAAACGCCCTCGGTGGCAACCTTCTGTACGTTTGGAGGGACTGCGGGATCTCCTACGGAACGCACCGGTGTCCCTCGATACTGGACGTGAGCACGCCCCGGAGAAGGATAAACCTTCCCCAATTCCCTCGCCATCTTGCAGCAGCTCGAGGCCACTTCGTGCTGCTGCCAAACCCTGTCCCCTTTTAGTCGCCTTTTAGGACAGGCAGGAGATACCTTAGTCCTATTCTAGAGCCCGGGACTACAGGGCTATTGATTCAAGTCCTATACTTCTTGCTGCGGCTGGTGACAAGAGGGCTGGTTCTATTCTCGCTCAAAGATTAAGCAAAACTATTCGCTATGGCACCGAGAACATGCAGCTAACTTGCTTAGCACCATGTCGCGTGGACTTGTAGCACGTACGTAGATAAACGTGTTACTTATTCAGCTTTTAATATAACCATGTCACTCCTTGAATTTTATGAAAAAATCGTATATAAGTAGTTCAAATAGTTCCAAATCAATTTTTATCTTTTTGAAATGTAAAGGTAACTGCCGAGCACACTTACATACATTCAGGGGCCTTTATGTTTCGAAATATTGAAAAAATTTATGCTTAATTCGAAAACTGGAGTTAATTTCCATTTGCCCAGTTCGAATACCTTTTTATAAATTTCTTTTTATTACAGCCGAAAATAAATTAATTTCCGTTTAGTATCTGAAACAAGTGCAAGTCATTTCATATTGAAGCTGAGTTCAACGACCGCGATTCGATATACTCACAATATTCGAACTTTTTTTCTATCTTTCAAAAACAAATCCCTTACTGTAGGATAATATTATTGTATTGTAGGGACGTTTTACATACATAAATTTCACGTGGACCAAATAGAAATAATTATCTGTGGGTCACATAAATACTTGCCCCGTGTCAGAATCGAACCCACGACCCCATCACAGAAGCAACCGTGCCACGAAAAAGAATTCCCAACAACAGTTTTCCAAGCGTTCAGATCGTAACCAACTCTAAGCCAATAGATGCTTAGATACAGACAATATCATTACCTACTTAACTATCATAATAACAACCCTGTCTTTTTGGCAAACTAATGTCTTTTCGGCTTTAATGAAAAGCTAATGCTTACCTATTTCACCTAGACTATCTAATCTCCAACGTGGCTGCTAATGACCTTTGTGAATGTATAACCAACACCTTCCAATTCACAGTCTTATATGCCAGGGGACACTTCTCAAGTAATAAATTGTCCCGCTCAGTCCACATGTGAGGCCAGATCGACAACCGCGACACGCGTATTTGATCGGCAAATGAAGCGCGGACCTTGGAGCTAGGGTTACCAGATCAAGGTTTTTTTATGTTACAAGGTGGCAAGCGAGCTGGCGGTTCACCTGATGTTAAGTGACAACCCCCATGGACGTTTACAACACCCGTGGGGTGCAGATGCGTTGCACTTTTTAGTAAAGTGGCCCCCGGCTACGTCACCGGCGGTTCACCTGATGTTAAGTGATAACCGCCGCCCATGGACATTTGCAACACCCGTAGGGTTGCAGAAGCGTTGCCACCTTTAAATAAAGTTGGCCTCGGCTACCTCACTCACCAGACGGAATGCAGAAGTGTAACACTTCCAATTCACGACGGTCCTCTGTGAGGTCGTGGTACTTCCCCAGACGGAGCTGCCCATTCGTGCAACAGTGAGGGCTATTGCTTCGCCCTACCACTTTTGCTGACAATGGCGCTGACTTGTAAGTATAAGTTGTGGCATTTGACTAATCTGTGGTCGCCCAGTAGTAGAAATTTTATGATTAAAAAAAATATTAGCATCCTACACTCCTTCTCTATATAAATTAAAAATTTCATACTCCTCCGTCCGCGCAATTTTCGTAAAAAAGGGTACACAGTTTTTGCTTCACGTATGTAGATGTTGTTTTGTCCCAATGTTAACAGTAAGATATTTAGAAAATGCTCAGCGCTGTCTGTTATTCGCTCTTCAGCAATATAAAAGTTAAATTACGAAAATTATCCTTCGAATCACTTACACATATCAATCACTACATAGTATAAAACAAAGTCGTCCCGCTGTCGTCTGTTTGTCCCTATATATATATGCTTAGATCTTTAAAACTACGCAACGGATCTTGTTGCGGGTTTTACTAGATAGAGTGATTCAAGAGGAATGTCTATATGTAAAATACATTGCACCCGTGCGAAGCCGGGGCGGGTCGCTAGTTATCATATAAAAAGATTGCTTATTTTACTTTTTGTCACCGAATCATTATTAAAATTATTATGTAAACGCTATCTGGTAACCCTAGACGGATCGAAATGCCGGCGGCACCCGCTGATTCCCACGAGCCCCATCCGAAGGCAATTACGGAATTGAACATGGATACATCGGGCCATATTACTGCCCTGAACTAGACCTCGACACTTTATCGAGCTGCATGTCGATGGAATTAGCGTTAACAATGTTCCAAGCAGCGCATTCATGCGATTTTTAATGCATATTGATAATTCTACCATTTCAATGAAACAATTGAACATTAATAGAGGCTAAATTTATTATATAACCTTAAAAGGTATTAGTAATAATTCTTTATTTCTCACTGTACCTACATAAGAACGTAGAACAGACGGTTAAGTACGCAAAACAGTTATAAAATATAAGTTATTACTACTTTTTAACACTGAATAGTCAATAGTTTCTTATGCGAAGTTCTATGGTTATCAAGAAAAATGAGAGACAACAGTATTAAGAAGTAGTTCTTTCACACTCCCATTTCAGTAACTTTATAAGTATGTACAATAGTTATTAACTTTCTCTTCTGTTTTTCATTTAAATCATGGTGTATGCGTATGTCTGAATAATTATATCGAATGCAAGCGCCAGGTTTCATATAGAAGAGTTGATCAAGCACAGGAACATAACGAAACAATTTCTTTTTACGCTATGCGCCATGTTATTGAAGCACTGATAAATAATCGAGCTGAAGTTCATAATATAAATTACAAAATACTGCCTGAAATTCGTTCGGTCTACAGCTTGGCTTTTATAAGAAATTATAAACGAGCAACTGGCCTCTAAAGAAGGCATTACTGGGGACCTGAAGGACTTAATTCACTCGATGGTAGCCCTATAGTGGAGGCATTAACAAGTCTTTCTTCAAAAAAAAAACATTATATATTAACAAGACATTGTATGCCATTGATAACGGTTTGGTTAGGTTGAATAATACCGTGAAGTTAGTCGAAGGTGGTCGCTTTGTGGCCAACTTCACCGTGTTGCTATTTGGCTGTCGGCTGTCGGCGCACATTGTAAAAATTATATTCTCGTATTTTTTCCGAACGCGTCAAACGAAGTATAGCTTCAAAGATATTTATTGATTTAAATAACGCGACAGTAGATTAGATGCGGCCGGAACCAGTGATGCAATTATGGTGTCCAATACCTTTCGTATGCGTCACAATCGATCGGCCACAGTTCGAGGCCCTTGGCAGTGACCAAGCGCTGTTGGACGATTGTAAATAATGCGCAACAGTAAATGTATTCGTGCAAGTCTACTATAACTAATTTAGGGAAAAAGAAACAACAAGATTGTTTGATTCTAATCGAAATCCGCTGTTTGAACAAACCTTTGGATATCTTTTAGCGTTATTTGTTATGACTTATGACGATAAACTCGATAACATGTTTTTTAGAAACTGATCCGTTGTCTTTTTAATTAAATTACGGTCTGAGTAATTGTGCATTCGAGTCCCTCGTTTTTTTTCTTCAAAGTAAGTAGTTATAAAATACTCTGAACTTTTACTCGGCTTCAAAATATTTTATTGAAAATTCAGTGAAAGTCATGATCTTTATTAATACCCATAGACTACGCTATGAATAAACTACAGGTAACAATAAGATACCATTGTTTGGAAAGACGAACATTTATGGTGACAAGCTCACCGTTTCCAATAGCGTACTGCTGCAGAAGGTCCGTCATGTTGATGTGCACAAGCCCCCTCCTTTCCTGCATCAGGTTGTCGCAGTGGGTCACCTTGCCGCTCCCCGGACCTCCTGAATATAACTTCACTTGTAGACTTGAATCATTAATCATCCGAGTTGCCCTGTTGCGTATTTTATATTATTATATTTACGAAGGACAAAATTATTAATGCTTGTCTAATCCAGGATATATCTCTTATTTATATAAATATGATAATTGTCATCTAAATAGGGAAACAACTACTTTGAAACTTTCGCGTATGTTATATACCACGGGTTGGGTTGCATGGATTATAATACCACACAAAATTAAAAGTAAGAAGACGACAAGAAACGATTAAGTTTTTTTTTTAATTCTGAAATAAAAGTATTTTTTTGTTAATCTACATAAATTTTTAACAACTTGTTTTATTTTTAATAAAACAAGGCAACCGCTAACTTATTAAATATTTAAACCTTTGCGGTAAGTAACGCAACCATAGATGATACCAATACAAAACGCGGATAGATTTTAGATTGTTAAAAAACCGGGCTTAACAGAAACGTGTTCCTTTGACTTTCCTCCCGCCAGCATTAATAACCTGAGCAGCTTTACAAGCTCTGCAGCGTTTACTCTTACCCAGTACAAACACCACGGGGACGTTTGGCGGCTCGAACTTGACGTGGCTGGAGTTCTGCATCGGGAAGGAGGCTGCGGGAGGCGTGGCACGGCCCGCCCAATCGCTCTGGCGCCTGCTGCGCTCGCTACTGCTCGTTTCCACCTCCTCATTGTTTTGTTCTATGGAGAGAAGAAAAGGTGACACGCGTCTTCACCACAGTAAGAGACACCAGTGAAAAGATTACACGCGTCTTCACCACACTAAGAGACACCAGTGAAAAGATTACACGCGTCTTCACCGCACTACGAGACACCAGTGCTTTCTATTTTTAAACTATATCCGGCAACGTTTTACCAAGCTTTAGGTGTTGCAATCATCCATTAACACAACGCTAAAAGGCTGGCACTGTTTTGAACAGTCTCTGATGTTGCAAACGTCCATAGGTGATCGTCAACAACCAGTTTCTCTAAAAATGAGGTCCTTAAAGAGATTTACCACTGTCATGTTTCCATGATTAGGTTGCTACGAGTATGCGTCAAAATTCCAGTACTAGAAAGGTGGCCCTAGAATGGCTAAAAATCTCAAAAGTGACAGAATAGGAAGGCGCTCGAAATTAGAAATGTGTGTGTGTATGTCAATTATTTCTATATTCGTGTTCAAGCAATGGATGTAACGTAGATGTTCAATTTGCCTATCACTCAATTGTCTATGATAACGGTGTGATTTCTGGAGTACAGCACGCCAATCCATAAAATAATTGCACATTTCTATTGCTTTTTGTATAAGTTATTTCTGTCTGTTTTCTATTTATTTTTAATGTCTCTAATTATTTTATATGTCTGGAACATGGTTTCATTCAACGTTCGTGTAATAGTCAGTTCGTATTCGTGTATTATTTTTTTCTTAACTAGTTGAGGTTATGACAAATGCGATATTGCCTAGCACTTATCTTTAACTGCACACTCCTTGCTTTTTCTTGTTTCAAACGTCCACGGACTCTCGCAACACCAGAAAAATTGCAGGCGTTTAGCCAAACTTTGACAGTGTAAGCCTCCGCGTACCTCAGGTACGAAAGATTCTGATAGCTGGATAGATATATTTATGATCGTTTGAGACGAATCAATGTTACAGTTACTGAGCTATTGGGTTCGCTGCAAGAGGTGTTAAGTTCAACGTGTTTTACTTTTTGGTAGGTTGCATGGCCCTACTACAGGTTGGCTAAAATTACAGATATTCCGACTATATTTTAGACTCTTGTGAGATCGTGGTTTTCGGCAAGGATGTTCTTCAACACACCTAAAACTGTTACTTATCTCCGTTTACCTAGCCATAAATAATAGCACTTAATTATTACACGTTATCAATAACTAGTTAAGCGACACTACTTGTTTCAAAATAGCTTCACTCTTACTGTATCGGTCCTCTATTTCCTTGGCTTATAATAAAGCAGTAGGGAAAATTATGTTGTACATTAAAATAAGCTAATTTGCTAAAATTATAGTTTTTACTTTTGTTGACAGAATCAAACATAATTTACGAAATTCTAATTTTGATAGATATATTATAATTATGCTCCTAAATCCCGAGTAAACAATTTCGATGAAAGCAAATTTATGATTTACTATATTTATATTTTTATGTGAAAAAGTGACGAACGAGCTGACAGTTCACCTGACGTTAAGTGATAACCGCCGCCCATGGACATTTGCAACACCCGTACGGTTTCAAATGTGTTGCCAACTTTAAATAAAGTGAGCCCTGGCCAGAGCCAGATTTAGAGGCCCCTTACCGCCCAATTATTTTCTAATGATTTCTGTTTATATTTAATTTAATGTTTGTACAATGTACTGTAGGTAAAAGTAAAACGCGAAAAAAAAATATGAAAGGTAAAGTTCTTTACTACTGTTTACTAGTCTGAATATGATTTTTTTTCCCAAAGTCTCTATTGTGAGGGCCCCTCGTTTGTGGAGGCCCCAGGCTGTTGCCCCGGTTGCCCTCCCCTAAATCCGCCTCTGGCCCCGGCTACCACCCTCACTCACCAGACGAAACGCAGAATTGTAACACTTCTACTTTACGCCGGTCTTCTGAGAGGTCGCGATACTTACCCGGACTGACCTGCCCATTCGTGCAACAGTGAACACTGTTGCGTGGCCCTACCATTTTTTTCCATTTTTTATATATTTTTTTTTTGCCTTGGTATGTTCGGGTCAAATTTCGTATTTTTATCGGGCAAATTGATTAAGATTAGTTTAAAATAAATATACTTCCCGATATTATTTACTTATGTACCTACCACATATCTACGCACTTTTTCCACATTCTTAAGTGAAATTAAATATCAGTGGGAACTGGGAAAGTTGATGTCACTCGTGCAATTATTACTAGACTGTCTCTAATTATTATTATTCTGTCTTGTATAATGACATACTATATATCTTATTTATTAAGGACAACCAACTAAACAAAACTCATAAATCACGTGTCAACAAAAATAAAAACAAACAGTTCGAACAGAAATAAGACTGCTTTTTTTTTTTTGACCTTTTGTTTTTTTTTCTAATATTATCTCAAGTTAGGGATTTTAACGTTGTTGCATACACATTTTGAAGACTTAAATTTGACTTGAGGACAAATAAACGTAACGATAACATAAAAATATATGTATTTTATTTCTGACCCGACCCACCACGCGCCATGCATAAGTTCTCCGCTTAATATCGAAACTGCTCGCTCCTCGGGCTTCGAACACGGAACTGCGGCCCTAATATGTTTAGCTGACTTCATCAGTTTTTTTAATGTTCTTGACAAGCACAAGAACATTAAAAAAAACTAACGGGTTCCATTAAGTTATTGTTATACTTATTTGCAATAAAGATTACTGGTGCCCAATACGGGGCCTTTTGGTAGTAGTATAAACAACTTACCAGTGTCTAAACAGATGCCCATATTCCATGAAGATGCAATTTATTTACAGTTCCTCTCGATAAACAATTACATAGTCCCTGTATACAAGCTAGATAACATTGGCACTTATTTAGAATAAATATATTTATGTATGTATGTATATGTCTATATATCAAAAACAGTCTGTGTACACACTGATAGTCACACGACGTCAAGTTTAATTGTTCATCGATCAAAGGACGCGACCTTCGGACGGGCCCTGACAAACTAAACAGAAAAACTCTATGGACCCAAACGGATTAACTCATCCTCGTCGGTTCGCAACAGGTTAACATCGCTCTTATTATTCGAAAGTTGTGTCGGCGCGATAGCATTTCTGCTAACGGTCGGTATCGAGTGTTCATTGCGGGACGACCGCTCTCTTTTGACAATAGCATACGACTGAACGCGTACAGCCCTCCATCACGTTCGACAACAAAATAACACCGTCCCGCTCCGACGTACGCGACGGTCGACGCGTGAGCGAGACAGCCGACCGATTGAATATTTAAAGCGTCATACCCCTGAATGAATTCGCTGCGTGTGCAATTATTGTATCAAATGCAAGGCTCCTGCAAGACACTTGTGACTAATCGTTTTTACTTAGAACAGCACGGTCGTATAGCTATTAAGCACGCCAAAAGTAATTTTTCCCTCGAATGTTCTAAGGACGCGTATGTATAATTCAATCGGGTCATCGTTACAGTAATTGATATGTTTGAAGAAGTTCCGAGTTCCCCGAAGCTAATAATGACTCACTATTCGGGCGATGGCGACAAATCTACTAGAATTATAAAGTAGCTGAAACGTCGGGAATTATGAATATAATATTAGGACGCTCACAACTTGTTAAACTACCAAATTTTATGTTTCGTGATAGTTATAAAACAGCCTTCTTCGTATTGTTTAATTGGTTAGTGTGACGATATTCCAGTAAGTTTGTACACAGTATGAACATATATAAACAACAGGTCAAATAATATGAAAGGCTATTATAGTAAAACTGTCAGTTTATTAACAAATTCTTGCATTTACAACCAGTGCGCGCCGAAGCGCTGCTTCTGTCACAAAAAATCACATATTACTTTAAAGGGGCTGTCATAAATAGCTTAATTCTAGAGAACTTATTAAAATAAATAATATCAATTACATTTATCCATTTACAAATCAGTCGAACAAACTTTTAAGTACAACAAAGGCTGAAAGTTCGTCCAAAATTTTTATTACAGCAAAACTTTATAAATCACTTCATGTACTTATAATATTTTTGAATTATTGAGCCAAAAAAAATTCGCCATTGAAAAACGGACGGCGAATAATTTAAAAATTGCAATAAATTTTATTTATAAAGTTTCAAATTAGCTTTAATTTTAATTAAATTGCTTTTAAGGTAGCCACTTAAAAATAAAATAAAATTTAGTGGTTTATAAGAAGCGGGTATGTTTCGTAATTTATTTATTTTCTATGACTTTTAAATATATAAAAAATAACTTCTAAATGCTACTCTTGCAAAAGCATTAATTCATACGTCTTTAAAAAAAACACGACCACACTCATAGTAATTAGTAATTTTGTTAAAATACATTAGTCTTTATATTAAAACACATTGGTCATTATTACCACTTTGACTGCATTATTGACTGCTAGTCTTGATTACTTTACGGCCAGTCGTTTAGCAGAAAAATATCACGTAATGCAAAGTAAAACAGATCTTATCACGTCACAACAAGGTACAAATTACTTTAAATCCTAAAATGGTTTAAGAGTAATGAAAGAGATTTGAAGCTTTAAATACGACTTTAAAGAAAATATTAAAATTCTTAACATTCTTCATTAAATAATGTTAAAATGCAACTTGATTAGCTACTAATATTTTCCCACTCAGTTTTAATAAAGATAAAACAATATAACTACACATACTCCAAAGTGCTTATAATTTTCAATTGTTCTATTTTAAACATTACTAATAACATATAATTTTTTTTTGTTTCAATAATGTGTACATTGTTGAGTCACAACAGTACATTAAGTAGAATGGAAGAACTTTTTTACTTACATTCTAAGAAAAGAACCATTTCTACATTATAAACTAACCGTACCCAGAATGCCAATTTTTGCTTGAATCATTAATAAATTTCGCCATTTTTATAGAAGCCGAATGCCACGTAATATGCAATTTAGACTATTAAAAACATTACCCTCAATTTTCCTTTTCATACTTAACCAAATTAAAACCGCTATTGTTTAAATAGTGAATGCGAAAAAGATTACATATTATTTAAAATTCAAACTATGTCAAATCAGTTATTTAAACATTATTTTCTATCTACATACTAAACATTAGTTCCTACAACACATAATAATTACTATTCCTCTGATTAACATATTAATTGATCATTAATTACAAAAAATGAAACTTAACCAATAACACTAAGACAGTCAATAATATACAAATATAAAATTCGGTTGTGATATACACATTAAAGCGTCATTTTTTAAACAAATACACAATAAAATCATACGAAAATAACAATTGTAAAACTATCCCAAAATGGCAGCAAAACTGTTAACAATAACAAAGTTAACAAGAAATAATTGTAGCTTTAATTGAGTCGTTGCTTCAGTGGAAAATATCACAAATATTATGTCCTTGTATTTATGAAATAATAAAACATGTATATTACAAATTTGGATTGGTGTAGATATAAGGTCAAAAACTTTTGTTGATAAACATAAATGTTCATCTTGAGTGCAGACACTAGCACTACAAATACAATGAATCATAAAATGAATATGTTTTCAATTTAAATAATACAAGTCCATTTTTTTACTAACGAAAAACAAAACCGACTGCAAATATCTCGCTCCGTATTCATTTTATTATTGATTTTCAGGAGTTTTTTTTTTATGCGAAAAGTTGCCAAACGAGCTGACGGTTCACCTGATGTTAAGTGAATACCGCCGCCCATGAACATCTGCTACACCCCAGGGTTTGCAGATGCGTTGACAACCTTTTTGGAAATAGAATTTTGAATTGAGAACTTCTTCATTTTTTGAAGTCGGGTGAAAATCGACAAACCTCATTGTTTATATAAACTGTTGCTGGTGGTATATTAACATTTGTTCGGACAGTAATTATTGCATAAAATTTTTGCAGAACTCCAAAAGTGCATTGTCTTTCGCGTGTCACTGGGATGCGAAACATACATTTCGGATCAAAGGTTCATGTTCTAGCCATGAGACAACTTCTATACTATGACCATGCAACTTTTACATCACCGATATATTAGTATTATAATCCTTAATAAATAATTCGTTAAATTAACGTTAATAATTATTGATTGGTTGGCAAAGGCAAATAATATTAAATTTTAACCCTTATAGGGTTCCGTACCCAAAGGGTAAAATGGGACTCTTTTATTAAGACTTTGCTGTCTGTCCATCTGTAACCAGGCTATCTAATGAACTGTGTTAGTTACACAGTTGAAATTTTCTCAGAATATGTATTTTTGTTGCCGCTATAACAACAAACTACAATACTAAAGATAAGAATAAAAAAACATTTAAGTGGAGCTCCCATACAACAGACATGATCTTTTTGCCGTTTTTATAGATAATGGTACGGAACCCTTTCTTATGAGTCCGACTCGCACTTGGCCGGTTTTTAAAATCTATATTTAATCCTGTTCACGTAAAACCGTCATCGTAAATCTCTGTAAACACTAAAATCTTAAGGCCAATCAACAGTATAGTTATAAAAGGAACCATAATGTGATGTCTTTTAGGTAGAGTTCATACAAGTATGAACCAATTACCATCTGATATAAATAAATAACAGTTACATACACATGTATATATCAACAAAAGGAATTACATATAACATAACCAAAATAACGGTTATAAGTAAAAATTATAAAATTTTATCTAAAATCATTCTTAAATCTTGATTACTATTCTACACTAAGGACATTTGCCATTATGTTGTGTATAACATGAAGAGATTGAACATGATTCTAGAAAAGAAAAAGTTCTTTTCTTTTGTAGCGTTTTTTCTTGAAAACGCCAATAATACTGTTAATTATTATTAGGCACCATAGTAAAAAATCTAGCGTTAATATTACAGTAACTCTGCATTACATAGCAGTGTGATTATAACAGGTTTCCTTCAAGTGATATTATTTGCAGTATCTGCTGACAACATTTTTACTATGTTGGAGTATACAGTGATTTAGGATACTTAAAATTGATAAATAATAAATATTTCCATTTACTTAGGCCTCAGTGAGGTTCCTTTGCCTTGCTGGGCTCCTCAATATATAAAATTATACACCTAATGAAATCCAACAATCATTATGAGATAAATATGTGTTGCAGCTAATCTATATCTGTTTAAGGGCAGGCTTTGTTCCATTTTACGTTACATTTGTAAGAGAAAAAACGAACATACCCCTTATGTAAACAATTACCCAAACAACTCAGCCCTAATAATTCCACTAGGATTCCAATATACACTTTCACGCTCCTTTTGGTCGGATCTTCTCATAGAAGAATGTTTGCGGTACACTTAAAGCTTCCTTCAGCACTTTCCTCTTGACAAATTTGAAATGTTCCAGCGCAAACTCGTACAATTCGTTCTCCATCTTCCATATGGTCGATTGCTCAATTATTTCAATGGTCCTTGGCGCCGGATCGATTTTAGAACTCGTCTGTCTTAAGTGCGACTTGTTACTGTTCAGGTAGTGTTCGGTGGCGCCCCTGAACAGACGGGGCAATACGGCTTCGAGCACTGATATGAAGTCAAGCATTTCCTCAGTAACACCCACTACAAGGTAGTGGTTTACAAGATTGTGCTTAGCTTGTTCCAAAGCCCACTGATTGCCTGGTTTCCTGCAAGGTGAGAAGTATTAAATCATAAACTAGAATGTGCCAAGCCCTGTGAAATAATCACTATAAAATTGTATGGATTAAATAATTTGAGACTGCAGCAAGAACTACGGTCGTTACTTTTATAATAGCGAATTTGCAAGTCTCAGTATGTTAAAAAAATATAATCAAATTAACTTTTTAATGTAACAGAAACCCTCTTCATAATTGTTGACCATACTGCTGAATGTCATTCTTCTCACTTCCTAAATAAGTCATTTTGAAAAACAATATACAGAACATAATGATCAAAAATAAAACTATGCTCATATTAACCAATGTAAATGAAATTTAAGAGGTTGAAAAAAAAATAGCTTTTACTTACCAACATTGTGCTGAATGGCCACAGAAAAAAGGTACTTGAAGCCACATAGAGGTAGGGTCGCAATCTGGTTGACTCTTTTCCACACATTCATCAAATGTCTAATAAAGGAGGTGATAAAAAATATAAGTCATATTAAAACAGTCAAGCTTAAGCAGTAGCTTTATACAAACTGTCATGACATAACTTCCAAAATGTTAATATGAATTATGAGAACTCAAAAATAACTTAAGATTAGATTTTCAATGGACCCCAAAACAGACTTCTGACTCTCTCAAAACTAAAAAAATATTTGAATCCAGGTGTGCTGCGACATTGTCCACATAGAACTTTAAACATTAAAACTTGTAGAAAGTGCAGAGATTAGCACTGTAAAAAACTTAAAAATTTTCACATAGAACATAATAAAATTTCTAAAATAATACAAATAATAAGGAATAAACAAACAGACAGACAGACTGACAAAACTTGTAAAAATTGTTATTTTGTTATATGTACTGTGTATACAGCGTGGTCGTTACCATCGCGACAATAAATGAACTCACATATAGGGGATAACTTTTTAAAGTTGTATTAAACATTTAAATTCTTTAAACATCAATATTTACAGAGTTATTAAAATTTCCAAATCAAAGAATTTTAGAACACCCTTACCTATAAAAGCGTAACGTAAAGTTCATTTGTAAAGATCACAAAAGCATATGAATGGGTTGAATGAATTTAAAAGAGACAAAACATACTGTTAGAAAGAGAGGCTTGTAATACGACGCTGTGGCGCGAGTTGTATAGGATGTTACAAATTTTGTTTCTTTTTTACTTAAGGGCGTGTTTGCGAAATCTCGCGGAATCTGCAAAAATAAGGGGTTTTCAGGTACATTTTGCGGCAAAACGAAACGAATATAATGTAAGTAATAATTATCACATATAGATCCCTCCTTGATCTTCAAATGGTAGATAGTTTTTAATCGAAAATTTTGGTTTATAACATTGTAAATGAGAATTTTCGTTGCCACTTCGTTCAAAATGGACGATATCCTGTTGGGTTTAGGAACATTTTTCTCTTATTTAATAACATATTTTTTTTATTTGAAAATATTTTATGTAAGCACACATATTCAACTCAAAAAGGTAGCTACATTACGTATCAAAATTTTTGAAATTAGTTTCAGAAAAAAATAAAGATTAAAGTCTATTTCTTTCACATTTATATCTTACGCGTGAATCTTAAGTGATTGACATAAAGGTTATTTTACTGGTCACTTTTTTGATTTATTCCACAAAATATTTAAAGAAATATTAGTCGGCGCTCGGCTGCCGTCATGAGTGGTCACTGTGTCGCTTATAAACAGCAGCTCGTGAGGAAAAAGATCGCTGTACGAATACAAAATATTTGTCGTAACAAAGTTGATACTTTACACATCATGTTCGGACTTCGGACTACGAACGACAAAAGTAAAATTTAATTCACACTTTGTCATATTTTTACTAGAAATTAGTAGGGGTTCATATTTCGTTACGGACTTGATGGAGTGACCTGAAGGTGTACTTCGAGAACTGCTACTGGAACTAACAGACGAGATGAGCTATGTGTGTCGAGTTTGGGCTTGTTTTGTTAGGTATGGTTAGACCTTGCCTTCTGACTAGATGGAGTGACCTGAAGGTGTACTTCGAGAACTGCTACTGGAACTAACAGACGAGATGAGCTATGTGTGTCGAGTTTGGGCTTGTTTTGTTAGGTATGGTTAGACCTTGCCTTCTGACTAGATGAAGTGACCTGAAGGTGTACTTCGAGAACTGCTACTGGAACTAACAGACGAGATGAGCTATGTGTGTCGAGTTTGGGCTTGTTTTGTTAGGTATGGTTAGACCTTGCCTTCTGACTAGATGGAGTGACCTGAAGGTGTACTTCGAGAACTGCTACTGGAACTAACAGACGAGATGAGCTATGTGTGTCGAGTTTGGGCTTGTTTTGTTAGGTATGGTTAGACCTTGCCTTCTGACTAGATGGAGTGACCTGAAGGTGTACTTCGAGAACTGCTACTGGAACTAACAGACGAGATGAGCTATGTGTGTCGAGTTTGGGCTTGTTTTGTTAGGTATGGTGAGACCTTGCCTTCTGACTAGATGGAGTGACCTGAAGGTGTACTTCGAGAACTGCTACTGGAACTAACAGACGAGATGAGCTATGTGTGTCGAGTTTGGGCTTGTTTTGTTAGGTATGGTTAGACCTTGCCTTCTGACTAGATGGAGTGACCTGAAGGTGTACTTCGAGAACTGCTACTGGAACTAACAGACGAGATGAGCTATGTGTGTCGAGTTTGGGCTTGTTTTGTTAGGTATGGTTAGACCTTGCCTTCTGACTAGATGAAGTGACCTGAAGGTGTACTTCGAGAACTGCTACTGGAACTAACAAACGAGATGAGCTATGTGTGTCGAGTTTGGGCTTGTTTTGTTAGGTATGGTTAGACCTTGCCTTCTGACTAGATGGAGTGACCTGAAGGTGTACTTCGAGAACTGCTACTGGAACTAACAGACGAGATGAGCTATGTGTGTCGAGTTTGGGCTTGTTTTGTTAGGTATGGTTAGACCTTGCCTTCTGACTAGATGGAGTGACCTGAAGGTGTACTTCGAGAACTGCTACTGGAACTAACAGACGAGATGAGCTATGTGTGTCGAGTTTGGGCTTGTTTTGTTAGGTATGGTTAGACCTTGCCTTCTGACTAGATGAAGTGACCTGAAGGTGTACTTCGAGAACTGCTACTGGAACTAACAGACGAGATGAGCTATGTGTGTCGAGTTTGGGCTTGTTTTGTTAGGTATGGTTAGACCTTGCCTTCTGACTAGATGAAGTGACCTGAAGGTTTACTTCGAGAACTGCTACTGGAACTAACAGACGAGATGAGCTATGTGTGTCGAGTTTGGGCTTGTTTTGTTAGGTATGGTTAGACCTTGCCTTCTGACTAGATGGAGTGACCTGAAGGTGTACTTCGAGAACTGCTACTGGAACTAACAGACGAGATGAGCTATGTGTGTCGAGTTTGGGCTTGTTTTGTTAGGTATGGTTAGACCTTGCCTTCTGACTAGATGGAGTGACCTGAAGGTGTACTTCGAGAACTGCTACTGGAACTAACAGACGAGATGAGCTATGTGTTTCGAGTTTGGGCTTGTTTTGTTAGGTATGGTGAGACCTTGCCTTCTGACTAGATGGAGTGACCTGAAGGTGTACTTCGAGAACTGCTACTGGAACTAACAGACGAGATGAGCTATTTGTGTCGAGTTTGGGCTTGTTTTGTTAGGTATGGTTAGACCTTGCCTTCTGACTAGATGGAGTGACCTGAAGGTGTACTTCGAGAACTGCTACTGGAACTAACAGACGAGATGAGCTATGTGTGTCGAGTTTGGGCTTATTTTGTTAGGTATGGTGAGACCTTGCCTTCTGACTAGATGGAGTGACCTGAAGGTGTACTTCGAGAACTGCTACTGGAACTAACAGACGAGATGAGCTAGCTATGTGTGTCGAGTTTGTGCTTGTTTTGTTAGGTATGGTTAGACCTTGCCTTCTGACTAGATGGAGTGACCTGAAGGTGTACTTCGAGAACTGCTACTGGAACTAACAGACGAGATGAGCTATGTGTGTCGTACGAGTTTGGGCTTGTTTTGTTAGGTATGGTTAGACCTTGCCTTCTGACTAGATGGAGTGACCTGAAGGTGTACTTCGAGAACTGCTACTGGAACTAACAGACGAGATGAGCTATGTGTGTCGAGTTTGGGCTTGTTTTGTTAGGTATGGTTAGACCTTGCCTTCTGACTAGATGGAGTGACCTGAAGGTGTACTTCGAGAACTGCTACTGGAACTAACAGACGAGATGAGCTATGTGTGTCGAGTTTGGGCTTGATTTTGTTAGGTATGGTTAGACCTTGCCTTCTGACTAGATGAAGTGACCTGAAGGTGTACTTCGAGAACTGCTACTGGAACTAACAGACGAGATGAGCTATGTGTGTCGAGTTTGGGCTTGTTTTGTTAGGTATGGTTAGACCTTGCCTTCTGACTAGATGAAGTGACCTGAAGGTGTACTTCGAGAACTGCTACTGGAACTAACAGACGAGATGAGCTATGTGTGTCGAGTTTGGGCTTGTTTTGTTAGGTATGGTTAGACCTTGCCTTCTGACTAGATGAAGTGACCTGAAGGTGTACTTCGAGAACTGCTACTGGAACTAACAGACGAGATGAGCTATTTGTGTCGAGTTTGGGCTTGTTTTGTTAGGTATGGTTAGACCTTGCCTTCTGACTAGATGGAGTGACCTGAAGGTGTACTTCGAGAACTGCTACTGGAACTAACAAACTAGATGAGCTATGTGTGTCGAGTTTGGGCTTGTTTTGTTAGGTATGGTGAGACCTTGCCTTCTGACTTGATGGAGTGACCTGAAAGTGTACTTCGAGAACTGCTACTGGAACTAAGAGACGAGATGAGCTATGTGTGTCGAGTTTGGGCTTGTTTTGTTAGGTATGGTGAACATTCGGTGAGATTACTTAGACATGATTTAATATTTTAAATGTCTAATTTGACAGTGTACAGATTTGATGTAGATAGTCTTGAATACTTTAAAATTTTCGTTTAAATTTAAATACTCCGAGAGGCCTAATAAATTCTTATTTCCATGCAGCCAAATGTTGGCTAAAAGTACACGACATGTAGAAAAGTTGTATGGATAATTAAAAAATATAAGTAATACAAAACAAATTTGCACACTTGCAAATTGTAAGATTAGGGATGTCTAAAAGGTCATTTTTTTGTATATTTCAATGAATAGGTGTAATAAACATGTACTTCAAAAGTTTCGAACGACAGCTATGTGGCAAACTTTTGGTTTCAAGTTTCAAGTTTATTGTTTTGTCGTTCGCACTGACCAACTTTTATGATCATGGATTCTGCCTAAAATAATACTTAATTTTTTAAATGACTTGCAATCTTTTGGAACAAATGGTATCTATAGTAAGAACGTCTTTAAAATAGGCAAAACACGAAAAAAAATAGTTATGTAAAAATGTAGTGGGTCTCAACTTAAATCATCAAAGACTTATTTTTATGGCACAGTTATCACATACAACATTTATACCTCTTATAACTCAATTGTTGTTTCAAAGCCTAAAACGATAAAATTTTAGCAGGCTACTACTTCGATATAGATAACAAAAATAATTAAATGATAGAGAACTATAAAGAAAAATCACAAAGATCCGACACAGAGCACCCCGACTCCGTATGGTCTTCCCTATCCCTAGAGTGAACATAAAAAGGCGGAGCCAGAACCTCGTGTCGGAGATATAAATTGACCTCGCGGGCTTGCTCCACCCAGGATCGACATAGCGACAGTTCTGGCGAAGAGCATGGAAGAGTCAAATTAAAAAAACGAAACAATATTTTTTTAAGCTATTGCACAGCTTTTATCGCGGGCTTTGAGCGCGGCGACGGAATCAATAAATTCCGTAACGAAAATAAAACCTAACACCACCCACTCCGCCTACCACGTAAGAGGAAAGATTTGATTATTTGTATGCATTGAATAGGCTCCTAAACCTCTGAACAGATTTGAAAATTTCTTTCACTGTCTGGAAGCTACATTATCCCCGAATGACATAGGATATATTATATTTTCAAAAAACTAGGAATCCTTACTAAAACTTGAATAATGTAACCCTAAGTGTACAAAAATTACCTAAAATATTGTTTGCATCGCGTGCGCTGCTAAAACTTTTGATAATAGAATAATATAATGTTCTACGAATTTAAAGAACACATCATTATTTATAAAAAGTGTTGCGACAGTATATTCTAACTATTATAGTTATGCCACAATAAGTATTCTTTTACTTTAAAATTTTGATTGAAATGCCGCCGCTAGAAAAGGCTCTTTATTTGTATCTTGGTATTAATCCTTATAAAAATAAATTACTTTATATTTAAGAATGTTTCAATATATTTATATAACTTTTTGAATGATTAAATTCGGACATTCCATTCGAAAGATATCACAAGTTTAAAAATGTTAGTATATTGTAATTTAACTATCCAGAGCTTAGTGACTGACTTAGTAGTTCTTATCATTTTTGTAAATAATATAAATAAATTATATATTATTAATTATAATATATATTAATATAATATATTATTAAAATATTATTATTTATTAACATAAACATAAATATCAAAGAAAAAAATACTGCATAAATAAATAATTACAATCGCATAAGTTGATAAAAGATGCTATGCTATAGCTTTACCCCGACAGAGCCGAGTGCGACAGGTTTTTTTTATAAAAATGTTTTTTTTAATTTTTACTAGTTTGTTTCCTTCGTTTTATTATTTCATTTTTAGTTACTAGCCCGGCTTCGTACGCCATGCTATTTCCATTTCATTTACAGAAAATTTTTTTTTTTAACATTTAGCATGATATTATTGAATCAGCAAAATGCATTCAGAATACCATACAAAGTATTTTACTCAATTCGTTAGCGGGTTTTACCTAATTATCTGCCTACATAGCTACCTTCCTACGTACCCTACTATTACCTACCTATCAAACTATCTACCTACCGCACGCATAATCAAACATGTATAAAACAAGCTTCTTTTTCTTCATAAAAAATAATTAAAAACATAAAATTAAATTATATACATAATTAATTAAAACGCAAATTATCAACAGCTACGAACTTTTAAATGAAATTAAATAAAATTATATCTAAATATATAAAAAATATTCAGTTTAAAAACTTGTTGAAAACAAATTTAACGTAATTTTAAAAAATAAATGACTTCAAATTAAATAAAAGTATCAAGTTGCGTCAGTTACATAAAGCTTCGCCGCTTCGCGCTTGTCGCAGTGTGCGTGAGCCGTGCACGTGTAGTAGTACACCTCTGTACCTAAAATTGAAGCGCGTGAATTCGTAAACGCGTCCTTAATTAGTTTGTTTGAAAAATGTTTTTTTTAAATTATGGATTTTGTTTAACGTTAATATTTTTTTATGATTATTGGCAAGTAGCGTTATGTGTACAACAAAATCAACAAAAAATATCAATTAATAATGTATACAGATAAATAAAATTAGTGCCTGTTTGTAAGATTCAAATAACTGCCGTTTACTCAATGGATATACACGGTACATATAACAAAATAACATTTTTTACAATTTTTGTCTGTCTGTCTGTTTGTTCTGGCTGATCTCTGAAACGGTTTAGAAAAGTTTAGAAATTTTATTTGTTGTTATTAATATAATATAATATAATTCCACGCGGACAAATTTGCGATCTCAGCTAGTGTAAAATAAAGTGGCAATTCTAGGTTCATAAACTATTTTTATTTTTAATGCAAACCTAAATCTGATTTCAATAGTCTGTTTATATCATATGTATGTTTTCTTTAAGTTAACATATTATACACTTACCATTTTATCACCATGCTTCTTACGAACTAAATGGGGTCGAAAATTATCTCCATTTCGTAAGAAATAATAGTACGAAACAAGCCTGTCTAATGGCTTTCTAATCAAATTTATAAACAAAGGTTTAAAAGATGTACCCAATCTGAAATAGGGATTTTTTAATTTAAAGATCTTTGTGTAGTAATTTAAGCTAAAGTTTCTATATTCAAAACAGGAATGTCATATATATCAAGAAAAGCAAAAAAAAGTCAAAGCATTAAACATATCAATTGCTGTGGTAGGACTATGCGGTAACAGATGGACCAACATGAAATGGAAGGATTATACTTTGTTATTTTGTAAATGAGTTAGCCAGGGCCCATTTTATTATAAGATGGCAACGCATCTGCCACCGTATAAGTGTATACACGTCAATATCTGGTGGTTAGCACTTAACATCAGGCGAACCCAACTTGTTTGCCACCTTCTCACATAAAAAATATCAATTTTTGAAATAATCGTTATTTCAGTAGTATAATTTTACCAAGTTGTAATATGCATACCTTTCAAAGTTAAGAAATGCCATATGCCCATGATAGAGAGCTGGTTTCATTTCCTGCCATTTTGTCACATTTTGGGCGAACTTGTACTGATTACTTAATGACATCACATGCATGTTAGCTGTTATGTTGATATGTAACACTTTGAAATGATTCTTCTTACATAAATCATAAGCAACACCCACAAAACTAGTGGAGCCTGTCTTAGGTACACGATTGTAAATTACCACCAAATCTTCGTCATCTTTCTCGAGTGTCTTCGGCAAAAACTGACGTGAACTTGATTGACTTTGAGCCAATTTGTATTCTGAAATTCAAATGAACATTTACACTTTAAATTAATAAAAATAAAAACAGTTACAACATGACCGGTATGAGCCAACTCATTGTGACTCATTGTGATGGGCAAAATTGAAGGCAAAATTCATGGCTGATGAACATAAGGGTATGGAGCCGAATCGCAAAAGCAAAACAGCTGTTTTGACGGGCGATGGATAGAGGAATTCAGAAAGCTGGCGTACAATCTCCAGTAATGGAGAGGCATTAAGAGAGGGAGGGCACAGAAACTTAATTGTACGCACCTAGTTTTCGATAACTGTCTTCTAAACGCGTAATTTCCACTTGAAAGTATAATATGATCATAATAATAACACTGAGACATGATAATAGCCATAGTTTATGCAAGTTCAACATTACGAAGTTTAGGCGACTTTGTTTGCCAAGTTCAAAACTGACATAGATTTAATGAGATCATTATAAATAAACGCACACATTCCACTTTCTAGAATCTAAAAGGGCAGTTGACGATTGAAAACAATCTCAAGTTATCATCAATATCACTCATAATAATACCAAAGAGTAATATCATCAGCACAGCAGGCAGAATGACACTTGACACTTGACAGTAGCAGTACTGGTGAGTACAGACAACAAAGTGCAAATTCTAAAAAATAATTTATGCTAAATTTTCAATTAAAAAATACCACGAACGTGCTAAAATCGAAACATGCTAAAAATATATGCCAAACAGAAATCATATGAAATACCAATACAAACCAAAAATAATTTATTTCTTTAAATTTTGTGACTACAGACAGTTAGTCATTATAAGGTATCCATTTATGTGAATGATGCCAGTGTCTCGCTTCTAGATACGAAGAAGTAGGGCTGAATTCGTTGAATTTCATAAACAATTATATAAATATTAAAATGTTCAATATGTGTATATGGCATTGTAACTTAAATTCAGATTGTAGTTAGATGTGTGGTTTTGGGTTGTATTGTGAAAGGAGTTTGTGTAATGAGGCATGTGAGTTTTGTGTGACAGTGAGTAGAGATGCTGTGGTAATGCTTGTAAACATAACAGTCATAAAAAGAAGTACCCAAATAATTAAAGAATGAAGACCCTTGTCTGTATCCTCTTGAATAGATACAGCCAGTAGGTATGGAGCGAAACACTTAGATGTATAAGCGTCATCTATCTCTGTTTTTCGCAAGATTTGATCAGAAACTTCATAGGAGTATTTGTTCACCCTTTTTAATCTAAAATGTATTTACACGTTGTTTACCGGGGATGCCTAATTCCCGGTATATGTATCAAAAATCAAAAATCAAAAATCAAAATCATTTTTTCATCGACATAAAAAAAATACATTTAATTTATCGATAGTCATTTTTTTTAATCTACCACCGTTTCGTAATAGGGTTCCTCTAACGAAGAAGAAACAGGGGAAAGAAACTCCGTAGGCGTCCTCTTTTTTTGTCAATTTTTTTTCTCAATAAAAATAAAATATTATTTCTTTTAGAAATGGCTTGGGAGCGATAAACTCATTACTAGGGGTTATTGTTATTAATGTATTCATTTATATTATAATAAACCTGTTTATAATGTCTTTCTTTAAGAAATTTCTTAAACCTGTTGATAGGCAGGCTTTTTGCTTTGCTTTTTTTTCCTTTACTGGGATTTTGTTGTACAAGCGTATACATCACCCCATGAATGAGTTACTTACTTTATGGAGTCTAGTAACTGGCGTTACAAACTTGTGTTTGTTCCTAGTATTTACATTATGAACATCAGTAATCTTATCAAAATTATTAATATTTCTACGTACATACATTAAATTTTCATATATATATTGATAGGCCAAGGTTAATATACTTATTTTTTTTAAATCTCTCTCCGAGATACATTCATATTTAGATTATAAATTGCTCTTACTGCTCTTGTTTGCGAAATAAAAATTGTTTCTATATCGGCTGCATGCCCCCATAGCAAAATACTATACGACACTATGCTATGGAAACAACTAAAAAAAACAATTCTAGCTGTTTTAACGTCAGCTAAACATCTTATTTCCCTCACAGCATACGTCGCAGAACTTAGTATATGTCGACCTGCACAGCGATTGCAGACTCCCGACGATTCGCGAATATTTTAAAGACCTGACCAAACGGTTCTTCGATAGAGCCGAACATCATCCCAACCCTCTGCTGGTAAGCGCAGCAAATTACCAAACCGACCAAAACGCGAACGTCAACAAGCGTCGCCCGCGAAACGTCCTAATCGACCCGGTCGAGGAAGGGGACTTAGACACGCCGGACCCACTGCCGGGGGTCCCGCCGGACAACACTACACCCACAGTTAGTGCAACAACAAACACACTAGTTCGCCCTCGCCTCCGAGCACGGCGAGACCAACACAACGCGTACACAAGGTACACCCGCGTTCCGGGGCGGTTCTCACCGCCCCCAGCCACCGATTAGCTAATTGCACAGTCGACGGCCATCGGGGTTTCGGTCCGAACCACGACCTCGATGGCCCTTAGATGACGTACCATAGTTAAACGCACGCATGAGCACATGCGTGGCCCTACCCACAGCGGAGGGCCCAAACCCGTGGGTTCTGGCTAGCCCACCATTTCTGCGTCAGATGAAGCTTTAATAGTCTCGGGACTGAAAGCAAAAACATCAGTTAATACAAGATACAAGACTTAGTATATTGGCAACTTTGGATATATGGGAGCCCCATTGAAGTTTTGCATCAAGAGCCTTCTTCCCCATTTATAAGAACATTGGTAGCAAATGGTCCCAAATTTTTAACATTAGGTGTTGAAAATTTTATACATTTAGTTTTATTGCCATTTAATAGTAAATTGTTAGCTTTAAACCTATAGACTATTTCTGAAACAGCATTATTTACCTCGTCAAGAGTAAACAAGATGTCGATCGATTTTAAAAATTAATGAAGTATCATCGGCAAATAACACTATATCATGTTTATTCCCTACAAAGTAAGGTAAGTATATGTATCATATATTGTATTTTTACAATTTTAAACTAACTAAATTTTAAAGGGAAACTGAATAAGGACGCAAGAAGATTCGCGAAGCGCCTATCAAGATCATCGCCGCAACTAGTACGATCTAATTTGTATTCTTATCCTTTAAACGAGCAGTTCTTGTATCTTATCCTTTAAACGAGCAATATATATATATATATATATATATATATAATCGGAATCTCGGAAACGGCTCCAGCGATTTTCATGAAATTTAGTATGTGCGTAGATTCGGGGGCGAAAACTCGATCTGCTAGGTTTCATTTTTAGAAAATGGATCTCTGTTTTCAGGGAAGAAAAATATATTCGAATATGACGGTAAATTTCGCCGCAAGAGAAAATGTCATAATAGCTCGGTCGGTAATCGGGCCGCCCCAAAACAACGGCCGTGGTTCGCGTCACGATCATTTAATTTGTATTTTTACTTTTTTTTTCGATTCCACATCATTGCTTTCTTTATTTTTAATTTTTTGTCAATTTGTTATTTTGTTATTTTGTTATTTTTTTTCCCTATTCTTTCTTTTGTGAAGAACATCAGTTCATATTTTCTTATATTATGCATATTTCATTACTCAGTAATTTTTATCTAAATGTAATTTCCAAAATTCACGATTTACCAAAAAAAAAACAAACGGTCCTCCGGGTACTGCTATTTTATATGCAACACACTTAAGTTTGTAGGTAGTTTGGTTTTTTTAAAGATTATTCTTGTGAACTACTTTTACCCATTGAAATAATACAATAAGCAAGTCAATCTTTTTACCAACATAAAACAAAACCGACTTCAAATATTTCGATTTTTATTCATTTTATATTTGATTTTAAGGATTTCCCTACGTATCTCCGGAGCCCAAGATCCAATACCAATGAAATTAATATGGGAACACACGGAAAGCATCAGCTTTCAAATAAAAAAGAAACATCCAAAACGGTTCGCCCAGTCGAAAGTTCTGAGGTAACAAACATTAAAAAATACACTCGAAATTAGAACCTCCTCCTTTTTGAAGTCGGTTGAAAAATCAATAAGAATTAATTTATGGAAAATAAGGATTGGTGCACGTGTGTCGAAGTGGTCAAGGTCAAGTGGTCTCTATATTGAGCTTATTAGGTGTTAAGTACCATAATTTGTGCCCATAACTCTAGATCAGGTATTTTTTGGATAAAACTTCGCGATTAATAAGGTCATTACTCAAAATTAATTATTAGATTTTTGAATCAAATACACCCTCATCCCTACGTTACTTCTGTAGGTAGCATACTTTTTTATTTAATATTTTTATAAGATTTTTATTGCTGGTCCCACTCTGTGAATAAGCACATTACGTCTTTTGTGTGATTTTGAATGAATTTTTAATTACCTAAAGTCATTGGACTATCTCCCAATCACATAAAGATTTTGAAAATCGTTTTTTTACAATAAAACATAACCACAACTGCATCCTTTTTGGATTCTATGTTAATTGATATAAATTGAATATAATTTGATGTATGCCAATTGGTACAGAATCCCATTTTAATATTCGTCCTAATACTCAAGTAATACTATTATCACAATTTAATGACAAACCATTACAAATGAGATAAACTAACAGTAACTTTTCATTATCATCTTTGTTTTGCTCTGACTTCTTGCAGACGCCTATTATTTTTTTTAACGTCTTCAGTCTCGCTTGGTCTTTCGGTTTTATTTTTAATTAACCGAATTGTTAGTTTAATCGCCTATGTCATGTATAAATATTATTATACTGGACACGTTCGTTTATGGGTGGGAGGTGGGTCCAATGGTCCACATATTTTATCAAGTTTTGGCACAGCATAATTATTGTAAATGTTGTCGTTATTGGTATTGGCTAGGTTTTTATTACGAACAGCCGCCTGTCTTACTTCAACCATCCTTGGAAATAAACCAGATCCAGAATAGTTGGGTCATACAAATGCATGTCGCGTGTGGGAATCGAACTCTCGTTCCCCGGCGCCGAAGCCAAAAGCTTAGCAACTGCGTCACCGAGTCATCCGTCATTACAAACTCTAAAATATCGATAGGTTAATATTCCTTATCTGTCAATGTCTCTGTTAGGGACTTCCCAGTCAATATTACTTTCAAGAACACAACCCATGGGTGAAGACTAGAAAAGGGACGTCAGCATGTTCTTTGTAATAAGGAATCTATCTCCTGTAGGCACCTGCTGCGCTTTTTTTCCATATCGATACAGAAAATACAATTTTCATTGACATTAGTTGCCTTCGTAGCGACCGTTGCGAAGATAACTTACTGTCGTAAAGAACAAATCAAAAATTAATAAAC